CGCGTTCGCAGGCCTTTTGAGGCTTCAGACTCTCGGGCCCCGGTTGTATGTTTATTGTTATTATTGTTATTATTAGTATTAGTATTATATACAATATGTATATATATATAATATGTATATATATATATACATATGTTAGTTCGCTATTTACTTTTAACAGGATGCACTACTTTTGTGGGGGCTATGCGGGGGTCATGGTACATGCATGTCTCCAAGAAGCTTTCGCTTTGGGTGAGGCGGAGGTCCCTACGCCAGAAGCGTTGCGCCCAGCGGGCGCAGCGGGCGCCGCGGGCCCAGCGCTACGCCACGTGGGCGCGGTCGCCTCGGGCGCTGAACGGAGGAGCACCTTGCTGCGGTATATGCCTGAGGGGCAGACACCTGAGCACTTGCTGGCGAGGAGTTTCAGTGAGAACCACCCCAAATGCGCACGCTGCAGGGCCGCAGCACGCCCTGCGGTGCTGATGTTTGGAGAATGGGGAGATAAGGAATGGCTGGATTCGCAGGGCCAGGTCTCAAGATGGAGCAATTTCATGCAGGGGCTTGGAGAAGTCGTGGCTGCCACAACCAATTTGAGGTGTGTTCTCTTGGAGATTGGTGCTGGAACTCGTGTGCCCACCGTGAGACAAACCTCTGAGCAGATCCTGGAAGTCTTATTATCTGGTGGCGCAAATGCCAAGCTTCTTCGGGTCAATCCCAAAGATGCCGAGCCCGATGACGCTGACTTGGCTGAACACATATTGAGCTTCCAGTCGACTGGGCTGGAGTTTCTGAGGGCAGTGGATGCATTGCTGCCAGAGGTGAGGTGACAACTTCTGATAGATGGTGGAGACAGGGAGAGTAGTTTCGTCACTGGATCTTGGACCATTTCAACTCTACCGTTTCTGCAACTTTATGGGCAACAAAGAATGTATCCAGTGACCCAACCGCGTGCCTGATACTATGAGCTTCTCCCAGGAAGCAGACATCACATCGACTCAACTTCGAGAAGCATCACATCAACTTCACAGATCACCGGTGAGCTAGGTCCACTCCCATGGAACTGAATTGATCGTTCCGTGGCTGAGAAGTGCGAACAACCGCCTTCGTGGCACAGTTCTGTGGGAGGTCGTCACGGTCGGCCATTTTTGGCCAGCTGCTTCCAAACACGGTGGCATCTTGGAGAAGAGGTGCTGACTCGGTAGATTGCAGAGTGTCATTCTCTCTCTCCATTATGCGCTGCACTCAGCGATTCTCAATCCTTTGTGGTTTTGGGGCCATGCATTTTCGACGATTCAACTCCCAGAGGCACCCCAGAACTGCGGTGCGCGGTGAAAGAAGGCGGCGCGCTTCCAGTGCGGTGATAGACACAAGGCACGGAGCCAAAGGGCACGGTGAAGCCAAAGGCCGGAGATGGCCAATGTTCAGCTTATGCTTCTATAGATGGAAAGGGAAACTGCGAGAGATGGGGAACGCCTGCATACGCCGACTTGGAGGTGACAGAGCGGCAGTGGCTGGCAGTGGCTGGGTTTGAGATAACACAAACAGCAGAGCCCTGTCATTCTTAAGTCCCCTATCAGAATACTGGTCTACCAAGAGACTTGGGAATTCAGGCCGATCGGTGATTCGTTCCTTTTTATATAGCTGGTTGGGAGTTGGTGTCGGGGACGAGCACCGCGTTTCCCAGCACCGGAACGATCCCGGCGCGGGAACGATCCCAGCGCGGGAACGCGAGGAGCTGCAGCAGAGTGTCTTCCTTGGTGCGTCAGCCGCAGAAGTCAAAGGCAGGGAAGAGGAAGGTGTGTATTAAACTACAAAAACAACACACCCAAAAGAATTGCTGGAAGAAGGACAACCGAGCAAAACTTAAGAAGCGCGCATGTCGCTTCTTGCAGCAACAGTTTTGCTCCACGAGAGTCATTCATGTGGAGGAAGGGTGCTTTCAGCTGCCCCTGAAACATGGCCCAAAATAAGCAGTCAGCATCAGTCACCAATATTAGATGATTTCTAGTAATCAGTCAGACCTCTGTGTAGTTAGTCTAATTATCAGTCACTCTTATTTTGGACCTTTTGAAAGACCATTTCAGACCTGAAAGAGGGAGACAATGGAGAAGCAAATTACTGTGGATGCGATTCCCAGAGATGTGAGAAAGATGTTGTTTGATTGGAAGTCTGTCCAAGACCTCTTCAACTCCCCATCTTGGGCCGCCCCGAGCCGCTCGCCCCTCCGGGCCAAAACGCGCGACCTACCTGGGGCGTCTGGAAGGACCCGAGCAGCTCGGCTTGTCCGACAGCCAAAGTAGTGAGGCGCGTCACCTGCACCTGCGATCCGTGGCTCGTGGTGAGCTGGCAGTGGGCAGTCGACAGAGTCGGTTCAAAAGATTGGGTTTCAGTTGTGTCATGCTGTTTCTTTTTCCACCTTTGATTTGACAGGAGGGAATAGTTGAACCAATGTTGAACAGATTCTCACAAAGCACGAAACCTTGGGACGCATGTGCTAGTCCACAATAAATTTCTCAACGAAAGCCCATGCTACAGAAGCAAGAAGCAAGAGTTTCACAGGGACGTAGGTCCGAGGCTTCTGCACGCGATCCCTGGCTTCCCACCTTCCACTTCTGCTCCCCTTACAGGGAACGAAGCATGTTCCGCTGGTTGGCCCCACTTCAGATCGGCCACGGCAGAGCCGTTTCTCATCTTAGGATCTTCTTTTTTTTTTTGGCAGAGAGGAGGCTTTCCAACTGCTATACTTATTCAGTACATTTCAGTACATCATGAGTTTTTTTTGTGGAGACCTTGATGTCAAGCGTCTCAAGAAACATGCACGACATACCCCCATGTGTAGATTCTAGATTCTAGATGGATCCCTGTCCTCCGTTGATTCCACGCCAGCCATGCTCTGGCTGCGCCGTTTGCACTGGCGCGAACTCGTTCGAGCGCGGACGTCCAACGAAAGCGGTCGACTTTCCGGCGCCAGGCCACGTCCCAAGAACCGGAGGCCGAGTTGGACTCCGAGGTGCCGGACTCGTGGATGGGTGGGGAGGACTGGAGGGTTCCGGCTCCTTAGGGATGGTTTGTTTCAGTGACTGCGCTGTGAAAACCAGCACAGTCACGTGCTTGGTGCGCTTACAGCACGTCGTCTTGGTGGGTGAACCGAGCGTCTCAGAAGTCGGATGCGTCGCGACGGATCCAGGCACGCTTGGCCGGGAGGGTCTATTCCACCTCAGAGGACACGATGCGATGGCGTTGGGAAAGGCTGATTGAAGAAGGTGATTCCTATACCAGGAGTCACAAAGGAATTGTTTTTTAGATGTTTTTAGTATTTTTCCCCAAACAATGTGTCCACACAAAACAATCTGATTGGTGCTTTGGCAGCCAGAGAGTTCAGTTGTAGGTGGGCCTCATTCCTTCTAGTCCAGTCGTCAGATCAACACGAGCCTTACATTTCACGTTTTTCACGTACACTTGTATGCCTTTGCTCAACAGTTTAAGACTTTGTGCCATTGCCCGTTTCTGATTGTTGTTTTTTAGTCTAATCCCCCGCAAAAAAGGGGCAATGCACTTCAGGAGATTCTCTACTTGAAGAAGAACATGGAGAACTTGCGAAAGCAGAAGTGTCATTTGCAGCTCCAGGCCGTGAACCACGGCGGTTCCCGCGCTCCAGGAATCTGAACCAAACAGTCGAGAGAGAGAGACTTGGAAGAAAGCATGTGTCAAGCATCGCAATGGACGAACCAATCGCAGACGATCCAATGAATCAAACCATTTTGGAATGATTTATTTTTTATATGCTTCTAGCCTTCTAGCTACTCATTAGTAGCTTCTTGTTACTAGTAGCGATGGCCTCCAACCTGCTTGCGAGTGCCTCCACCTATATAGCGTCCTTGCTACTGTATCGTTTCCTCATCTCTACTTGTTTGTCACTGGGATTGCGTTGACTGAGCGTTGACCCACGACTGTGGCGATGCCTCGATTGATCAGGTGGAGAACAGTGAAGCCCGGCAGCGGACGGTGGAGGCCCAACGGCAGCAATACCAGAAGCTCTACGAGGAGACACATATGGGTCTATTATGGTTTGCTTCTAGGTTGGAGGTGATCGCTAGTAGTAACAAAGGGGATCACTACTAGTAGCAAGGAGCTATAGTAGCTCCTGGCATGACTAATGTAGACTCTTGATTAATAAACCCTTCCATTTGAATTGGAAGTCCTCTTCATATGGGGTTTATTAATCAAGAGTCTACATTACTAGGAACAAGAAGCTTCTAGATTGGAGGCCATCGCTATTGGGTTGAAGAACCCCCCGGCCAGCCCGGCGGAGTGGACGTGGGAGCGACCCAGCGGGCGGTCCTGCGGTTTCCTCAGTGGACGTTGGAGGTGAATGACTGGTTCATCCGAAGGCTGTTTGCACCGAAGGGGTTGACCTGTCTCTGAAGGGAAAACCAGGTCTTTGAAGGTGTCCGGAGTTGCTGGGGGCGGGCATGGAAGGTACAAAACACGATCATAGGACCACGAAACCCAGCACGATTGGGAGTATGCCCTTTCTTTTTGGTCTGAACACACATCGAGCAACTTCTTCTGACAAAAGTCGCCACACGCCACACATGCACACGAAGAATGGAGGCACACAGGGCTTTGTTTGTTTGCTCATGAGGTACGTTTCGTTGGGTTCCTCATTTGACGATAAGCTCCACATCCTCCTATGCGCTCATACCAAATCAGCCCTACTCTGAAATTTCTATATACCACCTACATGAATTCCTTCTCATCACAGCTGCGCATGGGCCCTTATTCCTCATTCTCCAGGAGTCGCTGTCACATGGGCCCTTCGCCCACCTGGGCGAAGGCGGTTCGTTGGTTCGGGACGGATCTATGGGTGAACTCGGGAGGGGAATGCTGCAAAGATAGAAACCATTTCATGTGATAGATCCTTGCGGAAGGGGGATTCATGTTGCATCAGTGTTTCATCGCTTTTCTCTAGGTAAATATCAGGTTGTTGCCACCAGTGGAACCGAAAACCCCTCCAAACCGGCTCCTCCACCGCGAGGAGCCGAACGAGTGACGTGACCGCAGGGCCGAACGCTCTCCGGCCCAGGGCGTGGTTTGGAGATCACCGCTCTGCAGCAACAACTGGCTGCGCTGTTGATGCTCAAGGAGCGGCGCATTTGGCTGCACTGGCTGCGACGTGCCACGAGCCACAAAGAAAGGGCGCCTGTGGGTGATGTTTTGGGGTGCAGTTTCATGCAACTAAGTAGTAATTCAACCACCTGCAAGAGTCGCAGGCGAATCGCCTTTGGCTACACAGAAAGAAAGAACGGGTGCAGTTTCTTTGTTCTTTCACGGGGCTTTTGTGGGATGTGATTGGTGTTCAGAGTTCATGGGCGAAATTGGCTCACCCGGTCGGTTCACTTGGAGCGTTTCTCACCGCTCCGAGTTCCGCTCCGAACCCACGGAGGGAATGGGGGTCGGAATGGGGGGTGCAGGATGCCTTGAACTCGGAGAATGTCGAACTCCAAGCGCGCATCAAGGCGCTTTTTTGGGAGCGCTGGTGATGGACTGCATCTGGTGTGAGTCGATGTGAGTCATTTGTGAGAGGAGCAGATGTTGATGACCAATGTCATGACCCGGATGTGACGACGACATGAGGTGTGGGCACATGACCCCAAGAACTGCAGGAACCGGAACAAGACAGCATCCAAGACATTCCCACACCGTATCTGGACCATCAAGGAGGCTTTTGGGGGTCCAAACCCCTGCTATGGAGGGTCCAAGGCTTGTCTGGGCAGATGTCTTCTCAAGCAGAGAAAGGCACCAATCATCACCCCGACGTCCTGCAGGGTTTGGAGGCGGAACGCTCCCGGCGCAGCCCTCCGTCGTCCTGCGTCTCCTGGCGGACGTTGGGAGGCCTTTGGTTTTCGGTTGGCTTGGTTTTGCAGATCTGCTGATTTGTAGTTTCCCGAAGTCGGTGACGCCCCTGGCATGGGGAAGCGAATTTGATTGATTTGATTGTGTCCGGCTGGACAAAAGGATCAGGTTGGAAGAGCAGCAGAGGCTGCGGAGGATCGTTTTACTTAGAGGGCCAAAGTATGAACAAACATGTATGAAGAATTTCCAGCAAGCTTCGGAGACTGCTTGCAGACTCCCCGATAGATGTGATGTTACATGAGGTAAACTACAAGGCCAATAGAAGTTCCTTTCGCTTGTACGGCCTTGGCCTATTTATATAAGTTCATTTCACTCTGCCCACGAAGGATGCAACGACTTGGCCGTTTAGCTTCAAGTTTGTTTGCTGCTCTCCATGAAACAAGCGTCCAAAGGGCAAGATGGAGTGTTCAGAACAGACGCGCAAATCTACAAAAGATGTGCCTCCAGAAAAGATGGCCTCAAAGTACTGTATTTATCTGGTTAAGTGCAGAATTTATCCTTCCAAATCAGAACATCTCTATCTGAAAATTGCTATAGGTCCGAGAGGGGTTGCATCAAGTAGCATCTCCAAGAGCACCAATGATGGGAATTTGCTTTCTACAAGGGACGTTATGGTTGGGGCTTCAGCGGCTTCAGCGCAGCTGAGGTGATTTGTATGGAGAATCTGGCGAATGCTTCTTGGTCCCCAAGTAGTGGGAGAGACCGGTGGCAGAAGCTTTGAACCGTTTGCCCAGAAAAGGTCCTCTTCAGGTCCAAACTCGCTTCAAGTAGAGATCACCACCTTGGGTGTAAAAAAGCACAGAGGCTCATCATCTACCAGCCTGCCAAGTGCTGTAGCTGCAAAGCTGTAAGATCTACAAGATGCTGCGTAGAAAGCAGATGAGTTCGCACCAAACAGATGGACACCATTCGTTTCAGCCTCCGTCCCTCTGACTGGTGCGACGACCCGCTTCGGGAATGAGAGAACTTTTCGTGGACGCATAGATGGCATAGATCCAAAGGAATCTATGGTGAGATTCCCTCATTCCTTACCAAGCATCAGTCAGTCGATCCATTTCCGTTCTTCCGTTGGGTGTTCTGGAACGACGACGCCCGGTCCGTGGTGATCGCATTGCGAGCAGATCAGATCCCACGTTTCGGGCGGTCCGTGGGCGACCATCGGTTGGTTCAGAGATGGGTGTGTATGAAAATAGAGACTTCCCAGGCAACGACGGCCTGGAAGAACGAACATAGACCACCACTCATTGGTTGGAGGTCTCCCTCTTTTAATGCAGCCGGAGAAATTTGCAGGCTTTCGATCACGATCTATTAAGGGGCTTGGATCATTTCAGGTTGTGAAAGACTCAGGTTGGTTATTCCAATCGAGCAGCTGGAGATGTGCCAGAAAGAAACCACTCAAGCCTCTCTTGAGCTTCTGAGCAGATGTCCCATTTCTTGAGCTTCTGGTCATATCTTGTCAGGTTCTTTTCTTTTGACCCTCAGGTGGTTTGCTTGCCGTGCAGACACCTGGCACTTTGCAGCTTTTGCAGCAAGCCTCTTGGAGCCACCGTCGCCCGCCGTCCCACCGATCGCCGGAATAACCAAGGAGGACCCGCGAGGAGCTCCGAGGTCGAGAGGGTCTGAACAGACGAAACACGTTGATACGTTGTTTTTTTCAAGTCAAAAGGTACAAAAGGGATCTGGTTCATTTTTTGATTTGAGAGCGAATGATATGAACGGATTTCTTTTTGTTTTTTTTGGTATGTTTTGTCCAGATAAGCATCGTCCAGTCATCTACCCTTCAAAGTCTTATTGTTGCTGATCATGTTTGAAAGGCAGGAGGAATCCCCTCCCAGCAGCAGTGATGGAAAAGGTGTCAGACCGGAGTGCTTTTCCGCAGATAGGGACCCCTTTGCTGGGCACTGGCACTGGCCTGTTACTGCACCTCAGTTGGTACATTTCAATTTTCCTTTTTTAAAAGCTAGATTGATCGTCTCCCCATGTTCAGAGGCTTGTGTTCAGACGATGCTCGCCAGGAGTCTTGCGTTTTGGTGAATGTAGTATGCACCCCATCTCCTCATATCTCCTGCTTCAGCAACTCGTCCAGCTTTGACCCGAGGCACACCTACGCAGCTGAGCGCAGCAGCTGTCCCATTTGTCGAGCAACGATCAATGAACGGATGCTCATCTTCATGCCCTGAGGCGCGGTACCTAAGGGTCTTCCTTCCCCCACAGCGTCTGGCTAAGCGAAGACGCAGCGCTGCAGCCGTGAGATACACGTGTTGAGAAGCAGGTGGAGCACTAGACTGCGATGTTCCTTGCGGGTTGTCTTGGTTTCATTGCATGTGATCTGCATGATGAGCGCAAGGAAGGTCAGGGGTCGCAAGTGAAGGACCTGTGCTCAACATCTTGTTTTCACTGGTTTTCAGGTACCATTCCACTATTACAGAATATAAACACGAACTTCCACCAATCCCTGGGTTTTGCCAGTGACTCTTCACATCCCAAGACACCGTCCAAGTCACCTACCATGCCAGGGGCCTGCTTAGCTGGTGGACCTCCGATATGCAGGACCCGCAGGATTTTTCGTCCCATCGCGACGACTTTTCTGCACTATTGGAAATAGCGCGATGACGTCTCCATGAATGTGGCCATTCGGATTTTTTCAACTCCCTTTCCAAGGCCGCTTTGCCCTCCCACCTAAAAGCGATGGCCTCCAACCTAAGAGCGATGAAAGCCTGTGATGGCCTGTGGCCAATTCATCCGAACATCCCTCAGCTTTGAAGAAATCCGTCGAAAACAGGTCCTGCCACTTGCTGGATGGGTGTCTGGATTCCGATGGCGCGTCATTTCAGCAGACTTCTTGTCATCTGGGTGTGGATTCTATTGTAATTAGGGAGACCCCAGCCCTGGCTGAGTAGACTGGGGCGATGTCAAACGTGAGGTCGGAAGGACCACTGAAGCGTCGGATGTGAGGAAACGAAGGACACGAAAAAGCCCAACAGGAAGAGGACTCAGTCTTATGACCTCGGCAAATAGCGCGGTGCTTGACATGGGCTGAGCCAAGTTTGGGGTGGGTATGAACATAGGGAGACCTCCAAGTTCGACCTGGAAGAAAGGAAGTTTGGGGTTTGCGGATTGGTCAGTCAAAAGATCAAAACATAGCAGACGTGCAGAGTCCGAGCCGGACGAGACACTGTCCAGGCGTGTTCGTCCGTCACTGTCATGAGTCATGTCTGTGATGTTTTTGTTTGGGAGACTGGGCTTAGAGCCTTAGGACAGTGACTGATCTGAGAGGAATAGTCCGTGGCGTTCTTTTTTCGCCAGGATGGGCACTGCCAGGATGAGTGACATGAGGTGACTCCTGACTTCGGAAGGTGCATCACAGTTGACAGATCAACAAGTCTACATAGTACGTAACTCATTGCGAATCTAGACTCAACATATAGAGGTTTGATTTTTTTTTTAAATATGATACTTTTACACACCTTCGACAGCGGAAGCATGAGACCTATGCATCTCTCCCGCGGGAAGTCCGGAGCAGCTTGACGGATGTCTGTAGCTCAAACTTGCATGAGGGAGCAGCAAGGAACTGTTTGAAATTCGCGTCGACTGGCAGAGAGACTCTAGGTGGATGACACATACACATACTGGATCATACTGCAGTCTGGTGTGAACCTCATTTAGGTCTATTTCAAACATAGGACATAGGGGACCCTTTACCAATTGGTGAAACGTCCACTGTTTGTTTCATTGTTTAATTTTTTTGGCAGAACCCTAACTTTGAAATCCACCAGGACATAGCAAGTTCTCTACAATCAGTTGATTCTTTATTACATATATTATATATAAGTTCACCAAGATTGGAGAAGAATGGAGAAGAACCACATTTTTCACATTTTAGCGGTCTTAATCAACGCCCGGGTGGTTCCAACGAAAGATCATTGTCGAATGTAAGCGTTTCACACTACCAGAGTGATCAGCTCTCGCAAGCACTCGTCTGATTTTCTGGGACAGATGATGCGCGTGCTTCTCACCAAGCGCCAAGTTAGCTTTCACCTCAACGTGTTCCTTCATTTACTCATGACCTGTGTGTCCAAATCCCTTCAGATCCTCATTCAAAATAGATGACGAGCTGGCTTAAACCAACTCCCCAGTTTGGGGGTTTCTCTGACGGAGCAGATTTGAGACGAAAGGAGCTTCAATGCGAAACAGGTCAGAAAATTTATCATTCAACACTCAGGTTCGCACAGAATATCAGGAACACCTAGCAACACGGTGCAAAAAGATGTCAAACAATAACACCCATGCACCCGCAGGATCCAGTCTATTTGTGCTTGTACTATCGGGTTTGGTCGTTCTTTCTTATTTGTTTGGAGCGAGGTTTGATCCACTTGGGAGCCCTCGGTCCGACGCTGGAGAGAAGTGGATCGGCTAATGCGGCAAAGTTCCGGACGGCAGAAAAGGAGGGAGATTTTGCCAGCGCTTCTTGCGGTGATGTTGTGATGTTCCAGTGCTCCATGAGAGGGGAGAGATGGGGAGAGGGAGTTCTGGCGCATCAGATCGGTGATGAACATAGGCTTCAAGCTTACGGTGCAAGTTCGTGCAATCCACAAAAGCATCATTTGACCTTGTGGCCTCGGTGGCTTCCCGATGGATCTACTTCAAGATGATATTGTATTGAAGGGCAGTTGAAACGAACTATATCGTCCGATGTTCCCGAGTGAAAGAAACGCTCTCCATGTCTCGATGGAAACGCAGGGTTTCACTCGGTCGCTGTGACGATGTTTTTGTGTCGACAGGACAGGCAAACCCGGTCGCTCACCGGTGTTTCCGAGGGGTACGATGATGTCTCTTCTGCACACCCTGAGGCATCATTCCCAACATCAGCAGCTCTGGAAAGACACCAGGGACCTTCAGGTCTTGAAAAGCACCCTCAAACATGACATGGACCCCCATGTGACACCATGTGACTACAGTGTCTATTAGCAGTCCGAACATCGAATTCAATCCTGTAAAGTATACACGTCGTTGTTCTTCCAGATTATGCAGGATTTTGTCCATCAACTCAATGAACCCAATTCTTCACTGCAGTGAAACAACTGCCTCCAGTTTTCGTTCACTCGGCACTCGCGATCCGTGTGAACTGCAGGTGGCCCATGGTGAGAGAAGATGGGTGGCGGATAAGACCCGTGCGAGGTCTTGAGCGAGTGTGATTTGATGCGGCTGATCGATCCATGCTAATTAATTATATCATAGTCGGTTGATCCCAGTGGCATCGCTTGGGCCTTGATCTGGGCAGCCGCCCACTGTAAATGCCTCCCGCGGCGCTCCGCGGCCGCGACGATTGGCGCGCTTCGATGGTCAAATGCTCCATCGAACGACCCGCGCGCGAAAAGAGACGCAGCGATGATGAGTGAAGTCTTGAGATGTCTTGAGGATGCTTGGAGGTGCTTTGAACGAACTGCTTGTGGCCCATGACCTACCTTGGTCACCATGATTCCATGCCGAACTTTTCGAAGCACCGAAAGTGTATCACATGATTCACATGGTGTGTGTTTTCTTTTTTGTTTTGTTCCACATTTGTGTGGATTTCAGTGGGTAATTCTTCAGTCACTCAACTCCGTCGTCGATCGTCACCGTCGCCGACCCCGAGGAGCGCAGCGATGTGCCGAGTCCCGAGGAGTTCTACCAGACGTGCCCGGGACGACCGCGGGCTGGTCGAACATGGGGATCTATAGGGGGATCTAACGAACGGAGCGTTCGGACGCTACGAACGGAGCATTAAGGGCATCGCTACTAATTAGGAGCGATCGAACGCTACTGACTCGGGGCTCCTGGCCTTACTACTACTAGTAACAAGGGCATCTATAGTATAGATGGGTTAGTTAGGGACAGTTCGGAGGTCCCCCAAACATTTGGTTCCTCCAATTCCGCCATTTGCCATCGAAATGTAGTGGGAACAAATCAAAAGAGGCGGTCTCAGGCGAACTCTTCAGATTTCTTCAGACGTTTTTTTTTCCTGGATTTTTGGGGTGTGTTATTTTTCGCAGGGTTGGATTTCCTTTGAAACACGTCCCTTTTTTGGCAGCGAGTTCTCTCCCCCAAATACATGACTGCAGGGAAAAGGGGCACGGGTCAGCAACTTCTGAAAATCGTCAAACTTACAAACTCAGGTGGAACTGAGGGCAGCTAGACTTGGTCGCTTTTGGAGTGTTCACCAGCTAGTCACCGAGTCTTTGGGTGAGGTATTCCTCTGCGGATGGTGGATACGGAAGGCTGGGGGGCCGGGGAGAGTGTCGAGGAGTCGGACCGAACCACCGGGCAGTTGGCTGAAAGACCAGTTGGGCGCTACGATAAACCAACATATAGATCATAGGTTTAAAAGATGGACCTCTTCAAGAGAACTCTTTTCAATCACACGATCATCTTTTCCATATTTGTGGTAGCTGTGGGGAGTATGACAGGACAGAGAAGATCTAGTGGCTCCCTGCAAGAGATTGGAGAACATCTCTTCATCAATCATGCACCATTTTTTGCAAACCTCCCCACAAGTGTTCATGGCCGCATTTGGTTTGACATGCTGAACCGTGTATTGTTATTTTCACTGTTATCAATTATGTATAGTTTGAGTGTATCATGGATCCCAGTATTTTATGTGGTGCAGGATGAGTAAAAATGTTTTTCCATCAGAATCCATTCTTTTCACACCTTTTCACTTTGCGTAGGCAACGCTTGTGCGCGACGGAGACAGTCCTACAATTGGGCCAGCACACGGGCATGCTTCACTCAGCAAGTGTCACCTTCAGATTGGGGAACTCAGCCAGAATCTCTTTTGATTGAGCTGCGATCCAAACCTCTCCAAATGGATGGTTTCGTGAGGATTACTGTACCAGCAACCAGTCTGTTGAATTGAACACCAAGATGCCCAGTATGTAAGGCTGTAAGGCCAGCTTAGCTCGGAAAAGGGAGGGTTCAAGATTCAAGACATTTCAACTCAGCAGAGTCAAGTCAATCTTCCAATCTGAGTGACACGAATCTTCCCCCCAACCTCACAGCCTTCCCTTGGTACGAGGGCGCGCCCAAGACTGCTAGGCCCGTGGTGTTCCGAGGGGCTGCTAGCCAATGGCCACTGGGCTGGTGATGGAAATCCAGGGAGACTCTACATAGGTTGCCAGGATGTCTGGCTGGAAACAGTAAGTTGCGGAAGAACTGGACATGTCTTTGCATGCACGCAAGCGGCCAGTGCATGATTTTCCTCAGCAAGACAGGCCGCCATCGCTTTGATCTGAGTTGGCATCTATCTCATCTCACTGCTAAAGAATCCAGAATCCCAGAGACAAATGCAGGTGAGGTATTTTTTACTTGCCAAAGAGGGAATCGTCAGGGCCTTTGGCACATTGAGGGAAAAGATGGCCTATGATGCACATCACACCTATGATGCACATCACACTGTATCCACACTTGCAGTTTCTTCAGACCGAACATCGGTAGCTCCAATTGATCTTTGGTTTTTAACCCCTTCTCACCACACATCCCAACGTCGGAACCGGTTCTTGCAGCGACCCGGAACCCACCTCCCTTAAAACCGCCGGTTCCGGCACCGAACGGGACCGGAACCGAACGGGACACCTCCAAACGGACGGACTCTTTGGGGGGGCTCGTCTCATCTCCAGGAAAGCCATTGGATGGACCTCCGACGAGGACCTGCTCCAAAGGCGGGGAGTGTGTCTAGACGGGCGACCCGCGGAGGCCCGAGTGGACGGGTTTGGCAAGCGCGGCTCTTTTCGCCGCCCCGGTGTTCTGGGCGGTCGACCGCTGGAAGATGCGAGTCGATCATGGCGGCGTCGTGTGGTTTGTTGGTTTTTGGTTTTGCACGTGGTGGCGCAAGAGTGCTGACATGGGAAGGGGTGGGGGAGACGAGTTCTTTTTTTCATTTTTCTGGCGCAGGCGAGAGAGAGAGAGAGAGAGACAAAAAATGAGAAACGCTCTTTTGCATGGGATGATTTGACTTCTTGTCCTCTTGGTCAAGTTCACCTCAGATGTGTGCCTCCAACATATGAAAGCTTTCAAACGTTTCGTGTGATGTCCAAGTCAAAGTCTGGTTGTGAAGACTTGACGAGGTTTGGTTCCGAAGCAGTCACCGGAGTGGAGCACAACTTGAAGGAGACTCGTGCTGGTGGTCAGGCCAGTCAATTTGACAAGCCCTGCGTGAAGATGTTGATATATCATTAATCACCAATCCTATTTGAAGTGGAGCACCAGTCCAGTTGAATTGAACCAGATACTTACTTTGTAGAGTCGTAGAGGTTATGGCACAGGGGATTTGGAGTGTTGAGCCAGTATGAGTTTTCACCCTCACTTCACATGCACCTTCACATGCAGCTTCGCATAGCTTCGCTAGCCTTTGTTTGCTCATGAAAGGAAGCGAAACCATAACTTCACAGGTTGACGGCATGAACACCTTCGGAGATTTCCTGAAAGCGTGACCAGGGTTTGTGCGTTTGTCAATCCTTGGCCCATTGCAGAACATGTATTTAATTGGATGTATTAAATTTGGTACAAGGCTCTCTTTACTTGCTGTTTCTCTTGAAACGGTTTCCTCTCTTCACTTACTGTTTCTCGAAATGTGATTTCCGCATGTCGTAGAGCAGTCTGGACCAACATACTAGCACATATCAAGTACATGCGTTCTTGTCATCAAGGTCTGATTGGACATTTTCAAGGCAAGGTATATAAGTGATTCACTCGCCTGACATGCCTCAAAGGTACAATACTTCAGACATTTACATGGTATCGGGGGTTCGTTGCCCCAGATTGCAGACCAGTCTTGACAAGATGCCCATCGGCGGTCGTGTTTTCTTTTTTTCAGGAAATGGTGCAGTTTTTTGACACACTGGCAATGAAGGAGAATGAAGGGCACATGCCATAGCACAACAAGACAGCTTCCAAGTGCAAAGCCTTTTTGAACAAGATGGATTAGGTTATATATACAACTGGTTGAGGTCTAGGAGAAAGTTGACATTTGCTTTCGTTAAGAGGTTTGGGTAAGAACGCAATGACAGTTAGCAGACTGTTGTCTCTATGGGTGTAGAATCATCTCAGTGTGCCACTGCTCTGTAGGCCCTCGGTGCTCCTTTTTGCCAATGGATTGTGAAAGTCGGGGTATCAAGTATCAAGGGCAAAATTCTATCAGCATTTACAGGACCAAACTGAGTAAGCTCAAGATAACCCAAGCGCCCATCATTTGGACATGTCTTGCAGACATGCAGCAATCTCCGAGTAGATTGGCTCACCAGTGACATGCTCTGTTTGTACCAGGCTGTACCAGGTACCTATAGGATCCGATAGGTGGCTAGTGATTGGCTTTTGTGACCAGGTACTTCGAAAAAGTCACTCCACGATCATTTGACCCGTTGGATCCATGGAATGGACGTGTGGCAGCTTTGGAGTTGGTTCGAACGAGCTTGTTGGAAGCCCTCATGGAATCTTGATAGACAAAATGGATCCCAATTGATCCCAATTGTATATAGATTCATCATGATTCATCCGATTCGGAGCCCCTTCTTCGGTTTCATTCCTTCGACCACGACTCCCACATAGTCCCACCACCATTTGTATCGTGATGGCCTGGACTCCAGTGCTTGGCCTATGCTGTATGCTTGGAGGTTCCTTTTGCTTCTCACTGATGGCTCTCTTAGCTGCAGAGCTGGGCTCCGGCAGAGCCTCACCTCATAAATTCGAGCCCTTCGAGCTTGTTTTTTGGCGCTCGCTCTTCATGCTTGGCATCACGTTGGGCAGTTCCCTTGCCAAAGGCGTTCGACCGCTGGGGCCGTCGTCTGGGAAGATCCGGCTGATCTTGGTGTTTCGTGGCCTCTGTGGAGTTGCTCAGCTGAAATGAGGAACTTGGAAGTCCAGGCTTTGTATCTGGTATGACCATCGCTGCTAGGGTGGAGACCATCGCTGCCATCGCTACTGAAGAACCATTTGACATCATCTGACCCCTGCCATGACTGGGTCTCCCCAGTGCCATGATTCCCAAACAGGGTGAGGTTCGTTCTTTGGTGCGTCGTCACCCAGGGTGTCTGTGGGCCAGACAGCTGGAAGCACCAGACATGGTGGTTTGGTCGGTAACGTCGTGTTGCGAGTGGTGATCCGTTTGTTCTTCTGTTTTCTTGGATGTATTTGTATTCAGGAGGTCTTAGAGGTCAAGAGCAAGTGTTTGAATCGAATCCCGGACTGATCATTGATGGAAGGACGGTACTGATCAAGTGGGAGCGGTCGCGGCCTATTGAGGTGGGCTTTATGGCGGCCTATTACTATTCACTGGCGGTACTTCCAATGTCCGACGCAGTGGTGCTCACCTACACCAGCCCTGTCCTGACTGCAGTGGGAGCGACGCTTCTTCTGGGAGAGGTTTGGCATGGCCTGGATTTCCTGGGCTCTGGGCTGTGCCTGGCTGGTGTGATGATGACCACCTGGTAGTGCTTAACATTGCTTTTATGTATATATATATATATACAGATTTTTACACCTGGACATCTGCAAAGTTGGAGATTTCCAGTCCAGTATACTTTTTGTGGAGCCCAAACTCATGTTTTTTTCGTCGATTCCATGATTAACACAGTTCTTTTGGTTCTAGGCTTCTAGGATGTTACTACTAGGTACTTGACATCGTGACAGTATGCTTTTTGCATTCTTTTGGACATCCAGGATCAGCAAACCTCCAATCCTTTTGCATCTGCTGGGCTTGCAGGAGGAAAGCGTGGAGCTTTCACCGCTGGGCCTGCTGGCTGCCTTGCTCGCGGCGTTTTGTGCCACCGCTGTGTATTTGGTGATTCGAATCCTCAAGGAGCAAGTTGTCAATGTGCTCAAAAGAGCCAGCTTTTGAGCTTTTGAATTAAGAGCCAGCTAGTCTTCTGGGAGCTGCTTGTAGAAATGTCAACAGGATTGATTGGATAGTGGTTCAGTTAAGCAAATAATGATATCGGATCAGCACGCGCATCTCTTCTCTTCAGGACAAAGATGTGCATTCCTTGGTCTTCGTGAACTATCTGGCCTTGGCTGCAGTGGTGACTTCTCCTGTGTCTCAGACCTGTTGGTGTTTCAGTCTTGGACTGACTAGATTAAACCGATTTAAACTGTTTACCGGTCCCCACAAACTCGGCTCGGCTGGAGTGCTTACAGCCCCGGAGTGTGTCAGAACGCTACCCTGTTGGAATGCAGTTGGAAGCCTCAGTGGGCAGCTCACCGACTCACCTAGCCTCCCTTGTTGCTAGTAGCGATGGCCTCCAACCTAATATCAACGGATTTTAGATTGTACCCTAGGCCGTTCCCTATTTAAGTGGCCATGACTGTCTCGTTTGGACCATTAAATAGCGATGGCCTCCACCTAGAAGGGCCCTTTGATACTAGTTCTTTTCACCTTCCAAGCCAGTTCCTAAGGTCTTGGGTGCTGTCTTAGAGGAACGCTGGGACCGAAGTGTGATCTTCCAGCCAGCGCTGGGCCTCCTCTTCCTGCTAGCAGCCCTGGCATCACTGGGAGAAACGCTCTTGGCGGTTGGCTTAAAGCTGGAAACTGCCGCGAAAGCCACATCCATGAACTACTTGCAGGCTGCTTTGGTCTGCTGTTGAGAACCCCATTCCTTTTTTCATCTTTTTTCAAAGGCAAGCTTTCGAAGTGACCTCAGCTTGTTTGTCTCTGATTCGTTTTTTGGGTGTCGTAAGACGTTTATGTCGATTCTTATGAAGTCGCAGCTGTCCAACCTCATCTCGTGATGGCCAGAGCTCTGTGACACTTTTCATCCAGGTGGTCTTCGCTTTCTTCTTCCAGGGCGATGTCTTGCACGAATCCAGTGACGAAGTGAGCAAGATCGGGGCACTGATGATTTCTACCTGGGGTGTGGTGGCGCTGGCAAAGGAGATGTTTGCTGAGGAGGAGAAGGCCGTTGATATGGTTTCTGGGATTGTTTCATTTGAAAGCCTCCAAGTTTCCTTCTGCAGGCATCCAATCCTGTAAAATATATGCGCGACTGCAAGGGTACCTGTCATTCAACAATATGCAACACTAGGGATTGATAGGGTCCAATATTTGACCGTCCGCAAACCCATGTTCAGGCAAACACTGCCAATGAGCCCCTGCTGAAGTGAAAGCACCGGATGAAGCCGTTGGAAAAAGAAGACGATAGCTGGACAGCGTTGGTGGCGAGGATCCCGAAGCACCAACAAACACCAACAGTTCAAATCCAAGAAATGCAAACAGGCCCAGGGTGTCTGGCCAGAATCCATTCAGCTGTTTCTCGAAGAGTGTCTAGTTCCACAAGCCAAGAAAAGATTGGAAAAACCACTTGCCCCCATCCTTTCCAAGCTTTATTCACGAGATGAAGCACCGTCTAAAGATTCACGTCTTTGAGGTTACGTTGCATGCCTTGACATGAGTTGTTGGTGAAGTTCAGTAGTGATTTATGTGGCGCTCAAAGGCCTCAGGCCGGCTCATACCCAGCAGGTGCGGTGTGGGTGCAGTTCTCTTCGCTAAGCTCCCACACAGGCACACGGGCATCTCAACTATACCTGCAACACAACTGCAGAATCCCTGGGGGAGTCTATCCACACCAAGCTTAATGAAGATATATGAAGATGATAAAGGGTTCCCACATGGCTATGGCTCATAGGGCGGTCCATGGACCAGTCGGCTTCAACCTGTGAGGTGCAGGGTCTTCTTTTTTTGAGCCATGGCCATATATGATTCACTAGATCGGTTCAATTAGCCCACGGTGTCTCCAAGTAGTGGCCTACCGCGCCGCAGAGCGCCTGGTATACAACACTGCTTTTGTGAGGGTCTCAGGGGATGTTGGTCTCGTGGTCCTTTTTTACTTGGATACGTTCGCATCGATGTTTTTTGAAAAACTGGCTTTCCAGGGGGGATCGGGGCATTGCATCATGTTGCCATTCTCGGCGGCCCCAGACGGACGACTTCGGCGGGTGAGACGTAGATCCTCGGAAAACCGGCTCTCCCGAGCTGCGAGCGGCGCATATCTACTCTGACTAAGCCGGTTTGGTTGGAGGGGTGGCTGCTCAACATACCCAAGGTGCCCAAAAAGATGATGAAGGAGGTGGAATTCCTTCCCTGCCTCACTTGCGGTGGGCGGGGGGCTCGGGATGCTGTCGCTGGAAAACGTTCATCGGTGCGGTCGTTTGAGGGACGGCCTTTGGGCAGTTGAGGCTGACTTATCTGACTTTCAGGGTGAAGAGATGTGAAACGGCTGGTGATTTTTGAGGCAAAAATAAGCTGAACTCCAAACAGGCCCAAACCAAATGGCTGAAATCAATCTTGAAAGGTTTTTGAATTTCCTGGACACCCACAACTTCTGGATGGGCCGCGGCGGCAGCAAGTCCGTCGCCCCTCGGCGGAAGAGGACGCGGAGACGTGCGCGACGGGTGGGCTTTCCTGGATGACGCCTACAGGCCCTCATGGGTCGACCTACTGTACAACCCTTAGAGGTCACCAGGCGGCTTTGGGATGTCTTGGGGGTATTTTTGGGGGCTGTGTGGGGTTTGTCACATGCTCTCACCCAGCCTTCCATGGACCTTCGGATTGCTCCGAAGTCGTGTGTTTACAGTGTCTACACGTTCTTACTCTCTTACTCTTCAGTCTTTTCTTGTGCAAAAAGACCTGCAACTCTCACTCAGGGCCCTATCTCTTAGCGAGTTCTGGTCGTCAGCGCCAGTTCTGCGCGGTTCCGTCGGTTCTGGTTCGGTTCAGGTACCTCGCGATCGAAACCCTGTGGATTCACTGGGATTGTTCACTGGGGAACCTCTGTGCATGCAATGCTGGAGTCATACTGACCCCATCCCCTCATGTGTGGAGTTCACAGATGCGAACTCCCGAACTCATCTTTAGACCAATCGCCAAGTTGGCCAAGCAAACATCGCAACAATCTTCATGCAGGGTAGATGAGTGCCCTTAAGCCATTGTGTTGTATCCACCACTCTTGAGTTGTTGCTGTTGGTCAACAACGCGGAGTTTTCTTCCTGATTTGTTACATTTTGCCTACATATGGCATTTGATTTGGTCTTCTGCCTCAGGTGCACTATGATGATCAGGCCTGACAGATGTGGATGGGGGTGCACGGGTGCTGAAGCGACGACACAAATGAACTCATGGTGACGGATCTGTGGAGGGAGGGACCCTCTTCCAACGGCAAAGGAGATCAGGTGAAGTCATGAATCAACAGACCAATCAGCAGACCTTCAGCGTTCATTGAAGCCAAACACATACCTATAGATCTTCCATCTATATGAAAAATGTCCACCGAAAACTTGGCGGGTCGGTTCATAGATGGAAAAAACAATCATTTTGCACAGACTGTGCAGATCTAAATATGCAACTCATGCGGCTATCCATCTCTGCCATGCCCCACATCTTCCAACGCCACGCGTCGATGCGGGCGCAAAGCTCCTGAAGCGCGGGCCCTTCATCCGACAGCGCGGGGCGAAGAAGAGCAAACCGAATCCGACGTGGAAGGACAACATCAATTGCATGATCGCGGGTGAGAAGCGCTTCTACTTCATGCACCCCTCCTACAAGGACGACTTCGAGGTTCGGACGGGCGTAGTCCACATGGACTGGTGTTCTACACCGCCGGACGTGTTTGGAAGGACTGCTCTGAAGTGCCCGGTTGGTGCCGAAGTGTTGGTGAAAACACGTGAAACAGGGATGGGTTGACTGGGGTCTTTTCGGGTCGACGTAGCAATGCGGTCATGGGCCTCTGGGTTCATCAGCTGCGGAAGAACCGCTCAGGCGCATCCCAACAGCAAGAAGAATCGCTTCGGCTGGGTAGATACCGACCTGGACAGGCGCGACGTGACCGACTGTCCGCTCTTTTTGCAAACAAGCTGTGACGTGGGACCGGACATTGGACAGGCTAATCAGGCCGTTGTAGAAACATCCCTGGGAGGTCCGAAGCCAGGTTTGGGGAGTGTGCCGAAGTTGGCGATGATTGTTTTTGGAAGTGGCCGAAGTGAATAAAACATGTGTTTTTGGCATTGAGGCTTTGGATTTGGATTTATATTGAAAAGAACAGATGTGTTGCCGGTGATTCTGCGCGACTGTGCAGCCGATTGCAGCTGTCTCTTTTGCTCAGAGTCTAGGCACAGGAACAAAGATATCAACCAACAAACGGTGTGGCATCCTACAAGTTGACAAGACAGCTCTTAAAGCATCCAGACCATAGGATAAACCTCTCTCATCCAACCAGCCGCCCAAACTCGTGATTTCAGTGAACCAAACGCTCACGTTGCTTGCCGGTGACGACTGGCCTTTGGGGAGCGACCGCGCTCCGCAGCTCCATCATGTGGGTGCGGGCTCGCCCGTGCCTGGCCCTTCGAGCGGCCTCTTTGGGGAAGCTGCAGCAGCTTCAGGCGCACGTCAGGGTGATGCGATGGTTGCGGAGATTCCCAGTGGAGACCGCTGGCCCAACTAAACTAGCCATGGCAAGCTCAAAGCTCTTTTCTTTTTTTGGAAGGATCGCATGCTTTTGGCCATATGCGGTTGGAGGTTGTCAACATGAGGGCATTGGATGACGTGATGAACATCCATCAATCATGCTTGGCACGAAACGCAGGGATCAGGCTACTCACCGGCAAAACTTGCCATCCCTTGCAAAAAGAAGAATGACTGTACATACATACACCGCGGAAGAGATGGGAGTTTGTGAGACCGAAACCAACTGAGAGGACAAGTAGGCGAGTTCGAAGGGCCACTAGCAGATTGACATTAATATATACTTGTTTTCCATCAGAGGCAATGCTTTTGGTGGGAGGTGCTGGCCACTGTCATGTGATTCCTCGGCTTTTTGGTTGGGTCCCAACAACCACACCCCGACCAATACAGTAAGCCATTTGTTGGTCTTCGGCCTGTGATCCTTTCAGGCACGGCACTTTGCTGATCCCAGCCAGGCGGGCTTTCCACACACCCGGGACGGACGCGGCTTTACGCATGGTTTTTGCCAAGAACGTTCTGAACAGCCTGGAGACATGGATATTCAGTGCTTCCATAAAGTGTATCGTACAAATGAGTGATTCCATGTGATTTCTGCCTGCCATGTCAGTTGACTTTAGAGTCCCTTGATGGGTCTTCAGGGGTCAATCTACCAGGACGCAAGACACAGAAAACAACGTCAATGGGTTGTAGGCCAGACCTGACACACTTTCATGGCCTGTGAAACATGTGTCTACATCTCAGGAAACTCTGAAAATCCATCTGAGGAACACTGAGGGTGCAAGCTGAGACATATTGAGAAACAAAAGCAACGTATCCTAGATATATGTCCACTCCAACATGACCAATACAAAAGAACAGCGATGACATCTTCCACCCTGGCCAGGTCCGGCAGAATGTCTTCAAAGAGGCGGCCGGGTGAAAACAAACTCTCTCGTTGTTGGGGCCTCCCGCGGGCGCAGCCAGTCCGGTGTCCGTCGCCGTCGAATCGGCGACGGTCGCCGGGAGGTGATGAAGACGAAGCGCAAGCAGATTGGACTCTGGACGGGGCTCCGGAGCACGTGCGGCAGCCCGAGGGAGGACGAGTCAAAACCACCGCCTTTTTCCACCACCCGCTCCAGTAGTGGAGAGGATGGTGATGGCAGCGGATGCGAAGAGGAAAAGGACAAGAATGGAATGCTATGGAGGAGGTCAACCTACCAGATGATTTGGGGTTCTAAGTTGAATTCGCAGCCACATTTGTTTCTAGTAAGTGGAGGGCAACCCCAGCAATGGAATTCAATGGACATCAAAGGTCCGTATCTTTTTGCGTTCTTTATCATCCTCTTGCAGGGCCTCTCCATGACTGTTGAAATGAAACGTGGATCCTTGGAAGAGGATCTTCCTCAAGAAACCAGTGGTGACATGGGGTTCCATTTGAGAGCTTCGCAGATATCATGGTGGCTTGTGAGTGCCAGCTGGAGTAGTGGAGGTTTGACACTCATTTTTGGTTGGAACTATGTTCGACCCTTGGGAGGGCGTGATGTTCGACCCTTATAGAACGGTTTAGCTGGTACTTGGCTGCGATGTTGGAGCTCAAACTCCGCGATGAGTACGCAGAGAAGCAGATTCTTGTGATCTTCCTCTCCAGCCACTTGGATTTACTTAGTCAGGCTTAGTCGGCGGGTTTCACTGTTTTTCACAATCGACAACCTTCTCCTACACTCTCAGCTTGCAGGACATGGGAACTCCCATGGATCCCAGTGCAGGATTAATCTTCAACTCTTTTTCTTCATTTTGGCCTTACTAGGAGCAAGAAGCTACTAGGGGCTCCTGGCATCGCTACTAGGAGCAAGGACGCTACTAGGGGCTCCTGGCCGTACTACTAGGAGCAAGGACGCTACTAGGTTTGGTCCATCGAGGCCATGAAGTTGCAGCTGGTCTTATTCGCTTCTTTTCTTCCGGGGCTTGTGCACGCGTGGTGGGGCAACCCCCGCCGCCGCCGCACCCGCGTCCAAGTTTGCAATGATGTGGTGAAGCCAGTGGTGGAATCTGTATGGAGTTGCCAACCCGCCAAAACGCGCACTGCTTGGAGGGACGTGACCAAGTGGCACAAGACCAAGAAGAATGTGACCAAGTGGATGAATGCAAGCCGATGGGTGGTGCACACGGAAACCATTGAATACACTTTGCCTTTGGAAGACTTTGTGCTCCTTGCAAAAGAGCAAATTACTGAAGAGGTGCTGGCATCTTTGAAGAGTGGCATTGCTCCCAACAGTCACCTTGACTCAAGAGGTGACGATCTTTCCAATGAAGAAGTGGCCCATATTGTTTGGGGCCCGAGCCAAGCAGGGAAGAGCACTCTCATTTGTCAGTGCCGCCAGCATGACGAGGATCCTTGTCCAGAGGTTGGAGATGGCAGTGGCGAATCCCAGACAAGCGACATCTCCATGTGGCAGACGACCTTTGGTTTCACTCTGGACACCATGGGATTGGGCGACTCATTGCTGCGATTCTCAAAGGAAGAAATCGGAAAGTTGGTGGCTGCTGGCATAAGCAGCGTAGCTGCAGCCAACATCAAGCGTGTGAAATTTCTGGTCTTTGATCCTGAGCTGCACTATGCGCATGTTTAACATTCAAAGGGTTAAGGGTGCTTCTGGATTTCCCATTGGAGTAGGGCACCATATCCTGCTTGCTGCAGGGACGCTTTAAGCAGAGTTGACTCCATGGCCATAGCTGATGCCTTGGTCTTGCGGCCAGGAGTCAATGGCAAATGACGCGTTGCATCTCAGAAACACGCTGCTCAACTTGTTCACTGCCTTCGGTGAAGAGGTTCGGAATGGCATTGTGGTCATTGCATCCAAGCCCAATCTGAGGCAAGGACGTGCTGGTGTGCAGAGGCTTGTCCTGATGCAGCAAGTCATGGCCGAGCAAGGCCTGCGTGAGCTCGTCCTGTGGAGAGGCCCGGAGAAGGATCAAGAAAGCGTGGAGGAGTTGAAGGCTGCGCTTGGCCGAGCAACTAGGCATGGTGAGCACGTTGCTGGGCGGGCCATGTGGCAACGGGTCACTATTAAGTCATGAGCAAGTAGCACAAGACTTCAGTATAGCCTTTGGTCAAGCAGTAACTAGAAGCCTTAGTAGCAGCCTTAGTGAATCTTGTAGACTGATCCGCTCAATCACAGGTCTGCAACTCCCAAGCTGATCTATGATTGGCCACAATCAACCGTTAGGTTTAGGGGAAGACAGATCCATCAAACCAACCTGAGGTATCCAGTGCAGAAATCTCTGCGCTCGATGATCTTTGGGACCGCGTTAATCGAAGAGCCCAAGAACTCTTTGAACAGCAAGTTCCCAGGACCAGCTTTTGCCCAACGAATTGATTAAGCTACAAAGCTGCAGCATTTGCATTTTGTTTGTTCCAATCAACAGGTTTCGGGTAACCAGTTTCTGTCTTGTCTCACTCATCCAAGCATTGATGCCAATGTTTTGAATGACTTGCGATGAGAATCTAGGACATGCTGCATGCATGGCTTTGTCGCACCACATTAGCAACCCGCTTTATTTGTTATTCTGAAGTAGTCTACGACATGCTCTATTTGTTTGTCCAACATCAGTATTTGCTGGTGAACGAGATAGGGCCCCAACATGACGAGATATACTGTACGATATATGCTTCTTTTTTGATGACACTAAGTAGTCAGTCTGAACGAGATACAGTGAGATGACCTCCTACTTAAATAAGTACAGTCGTCTAAATGAGATAGGGCCCCCACATAATACAGTAGATAGTCTTATATAGTGTATTTGAGCTCTGTATTGAATGAATGCCGCTGCTCACATGCACTTGTTACAGTTGTCCTGGGGAAAGCGCGTCTCTATTTCAGGGCTGGACAGGTGGGTAACAGATTGATAGAAAGAAAAGCAGATGGACAGATTTACACTTTGTGTTCAATCTTTCTTGCATGTCACAAGTGTTGGTAATGACGCATGTGCACATATTACACATCACACTCACACTTCGTATCGATCAAATGACACCTGAAATTCGTGTCGTGCCCACTCTTGCTGAATTGTGAAGGGGCGCCCAATTCCATGGAAATCTTACATTGGCCGCTATGGATTCCGGACACGATTCCGTCCATGTAGTAGTTACTATACCTGGCTGGTCATTGTGATGGTCATTGCACAACACTCCAAAAGATATGAATTCTTCACAGTTTCCACTGTGGTTGCTGGTTGCATTTGCATAGTTTCCCAAATCAGTGTAAGCGCAGCTCAAGCTGTTCATGCGGTGTTGGATATGCTTCTCCGCTAGTTGAGGGCTCTTGAACCCAAGCCCTTGTGAACCAGATCAAAGCATACTGTACACAAGACTTCAACCTACAGGTGAAGGATATGTGGCACAAAATCAATTTTTGTTGCATAGTCAAGTGAACAGAGAGCAAATGGCAGTGCACAGATATCATTTTCTCGTCTGGCAATGTGATTTTCGTGTCATGTGGTGGCTCTTCTGGATCCAGGACGAAAAACATCTCTGTGGACGTTCTGGAAGAGTACTTAATTCCTGAAGAAGTTGAGGAGACATGAGGGTCTGGAATGCATCTGTGCGGGCTTTCAGTCTAAATCGACAGGGGCAGGTGTACATCGTATATGCCATGTGTTGGCTGGCAAATTTGTAGCCAAGGCTCACACACACACACACGATAGAACAATCTCATGCATTCAGGAAGAGGTGGAGGAGAAATACGTGGAGAGTGAGCCGGTTTTGGAACAATATGAAGGAGAAACATGCGAGTGGAGCAACTTGCAGAAAGACACCATTGTCCGAGAATGCAAATTGCACTGATGCGCATCCCATCTTCGGTTCTGGTAGAATTGTGAGAAGGCAAAACTAGCGGGGCCTCCGCTTCAAGCTTGAAGTGGAAGAACTCCCTGTTCCTTCTCCTTCCTTCGCAAAAGTTGTTGCGACATACCTTTTGAGCAGTACTTTTGAGCCGTTTGACGTACTGCGAGCGAAAGATGGGTGGCCGTAGGTTCTTTGTGTCCAGAAGCAAGTTGGTTCTGGAATATTTTGTGCTTGTAGCTGGTCAAACTCATGGCAGCCAAGTCATGGCAGCCATGTTGAGAGGTCGCACATGGTCGCACTGCTTCCGTTTTCTGTTTTGGTTTCACCAAGACAAAGAACCGGTCAAATCTGTAGACAATTACCTGTCATCGCATGAACTATATTGACATATCGAACTCTTTGGATTGAATGTCTTCCGAGGTTGGTTGCTGAGATGCTTTCTCATGTCTCTGGCATGGAGCGCAGGGTCCGGGCAGTCTGGGTCATCCTTCACTGGCAGTGGATCAATTTTGAACACAACCGATATTGGACTCGAAGATATAGATCGTGTTATTCGTTGGGAGACGCGTTTGATTGATTTGGACGAGAAGCTGGGTGTTCGTTTCAGGAGCCAACGGCCAATCGCTCACTGACCATGTGTCGTTTTTTTGTCCTTTTTCTTGTCGCTCTGACAAAACCCTGTGCTTGAAGGAGACACGATTGGTTGGTGTCCAACTGTTGGTTCACTGTCACTGTTGGTGTCCAACTGTGGTTGGTGTCCAAAAACCCTGTTGGTTCTTGTCGCTTCACTGTTTGGTGTGCTTCACGAGCATGCAGGATTGGTTCGTGGTGGACATGGAGCACTCGCCCAACGAACTCAATGATGTTCTTCTTCAGCTACAGGCCAAGCCGGTGAGGGCTCTTGCTTGGAGAGGAGAACTTGAGACCGAAAAGAAGAAGAGAAAGGCCATGCCCATGGCTCATCAGTACATTATCCTGGAGACATCATACGCCCATCTATAGTTTTCCTTCAACACCTCAGATTCTCAGATTAGAATTTAGGAAAGCCTCCACGCATGCGGTCAGTAATTACTGGTCATGCCTTCACGAATTCTGGTGCCTATTGCTACGCCACGCCCCACACCACACAACCCGACTCGCACCACTACCCCCCGTCCGGTCCCTTTCGCAGGCCTCGCAGCGGGGGAGCGCCGAGCCGGTGGTGCGGGTGCCCTGGGCCGAGCCGGTGATCGTGAAGAGGGTCTTGGACCTGGGCGCGCAAAGTGCCTTGGTCCGGTGACTGGGGGAGAAGGGTGGGTGATTGATGAGTTTGGACCATGGGTTGGGAGATGTTGGGTGGGTTGGATGCGGGTGGGTGGGAGAAATCTGGAAGAAGTTTGGGTTGGAGGATTTCGATGGGAGTTTTGGATAGGACCTTGTTGAGAGAGCTCTCAATGGGGAACTAGTTGCATCTATTTGTAACACACGCACGTTCCAGTGTGTTTCAGTCACTTTTTTCCAAGCACATCTTCAACTACTGTTCGATGTTCCATGTAAAGCTTCACCCGCATCCACTGGGTGCCATTGCTTCCGCGATCATTCTGGCTTCTAAAGGGTACATCTAAGGACCATTAAGGACCTTTATATCCGACGAGATTTTTTTTTGTGTTTCTTGATACGACGATAGGCCGGTACAAGGCCATGTTGCCTGCAAAAGCAGCAGACTTGTCCCTTTGGGCAGATGCTTTTCCATGCAGATCCGACCTTTAGGGCCGAGCTCGATCGCGAAGAGACCGGGGCCCAGGTTTGATCTTCCCTTGGATCAACAGTCCGGAGCAGGCGCGCGAGGCTGTCGAGGCGAGAGGTGGGGTTGGTAGTGTGGGACTGGAGGAGCCGCAAAGGGACATGAGTCACTCGTGAGTCCTTGACTTTACGAGCCCGTCACAGTTTGTGGTTACATTAATATATGTGTACCTAATTACTTAATTTGTGTGTTCGAGCGGCGAGTGATAACGGCAAAAATATCACATTCCTAGCAGGTGACAAGGCAGAGTAACCCACTTTCGAAGGGAGAAGCATGTCGCGAATATGAGTACGGTCGGCGATGGTCTGCTAGTCTGAAATGCACCGATCGTCAAACGGCGTCACTCGTTGACGTCGAATTGAATGACCCAAATCCGTCAAAGGAGGTCCGGGTCTTTGTGACGCGCTCTTGCAAGACCTGATGCAAGAAGCTACTGGAAAGCACGCTGCTGGATTTCTTCTGTATGAAGCATTAAACGTTTTTCTTCGAAAAGACCAAACCATCGTAACGTCGTAACGCCATTTTTCTTATGCCGGAAGACCTGGGAAGCACGGTGGTGAAGGCGAACGACTTGATGGGCCATGACTTCATAGTAAGTCAAGCATCTGAACAATGTCCTGTGTGTCACGGACATCGACCTGGCATGACCTGGCCATATTTCACCTAAATATGATAATCAACATTGATAATCAACATTGATATGTTCATTGATATCTTAAGGGAGGGGTATCTCTTGAGAGGATTCTTCCTTCCTTTGTCTTTCGAGCTGCTGGTGACCATTCTCAAAACCTGGAGGCGACGCGGTATCCCAGCTTGGGAGGCATTCGTGGCGTGCCTTGGCGGAGAAATCGCCATCCGATTAGCCTCCAACTTAGGGGCAGAAGAGTCCAGATGCTGCATCTCAATGCTGTGATCTGGGAAGATATGGGGAAGATCACAACATAGACCTCGAGCCTTGTCAGACACCCCGGACCCATTGTGCTTAGGAATCCGAGAAAACTCGACTCGGCCCAGCTCCTCCGGCGTCCGAGGTGATGAGCTTGGCTCGCATGAACAACTACGGCGCACAGAACCCGCACTACTACAAGGTCCCGCACGACGCGGTTCCAACGGCCCCAGCGATGAGTTCGGGAATCCATGTCGAAGTCGGATGAGGTTCAGAACTTCGGATGAGATGGAAGGGACTGCCAGGGTTGAGGTTTTCTTGGGGTTTGTAGAAGGGGTTTCTCCAAGTGGTGGAGTATTCGCGAAGAGAGACCCTACTAAGTCGCTTTACAAAGCAAGAGCATACAGGCGCAATTTCTCGCAGTTTTAAGCTCTTGCTCATCGCAGTGCCTTCTGGATAATGATATGACCCAGCAGTCGAGAGTATGGGAAAGCTAAGGCGACGGAAAGTTGCAAGAAAGGACATGTTTTTCCATTGTGTTCTGGTAGCAATCTTCGCTTTCCCCTGTCCAAAATGATGCAGCCAGATTCCATCAATCAAGTCGAGAACATTAGTGCACCAAGGACAAGGACCCCTACATGTGGAACTCTACGGAACCCTATATCGTCCGACTGGGACAGTTGGATCATGAGGTTCAATGCGCATTGTTGGGTGGGCCTTTATGGCAGAATGCTTTCAAGCAGAATGCCCCTGACATCGAATCGATGCAGGTCACAATTGGTCGACTCAGGTCGTTGGATGGGGTTGATTTGCCTCTCGAATTGGGTGTATACCACTGAATGAAAGTGGAACCACTAGGAGGACGCTCGTACAGTGAGGTTTCTTCTGTGGACCTGAACAGATCTGAATTCGCTTTTGATATAATCACTTCTGTTCTTCCTCCTCTTTCATCCTCACCTTCCACTCCATTTCACTCGTTGTAACGCGGTTTCGACACTCATCACGACGTCTCCATCACCGGAGTGTGGCTCCAGGAGGCGGCCGGACAGATCTGCCGCCCGACGTGAAGCGATCGGCGGAGGGCACGGAGTGGTGGGGAGGCGGAGGTGGAGGTGCAGAAGCTGGGTCAAGGATGGTCCAAGTGGTGGAGATGGCCATGGTCAAACCATGCCATTTTTTTGAAGAGTTGGGTCATAAGTCAGAGACGTCGCGCTATGAATCGGTCGGAAGGGTCTTGATTGATGGGCCCTGGATGGCGAAGATCATGAAGGGACTATCAATAGTGGTCAGTTCATGCCAGTTCATTGTCATTTCCCTCAGAGACACAGGCGTTCACTGCCTCCCGCGCGGCCCGCTCATCCGTCTCAAATGCGCTGCGAAGCCACGGAAAAACCATGCCGAGGCAACATCATGCAGATCGAAACGGTGGAGGTCGCCATCGGCCCGCGTGGTAGGTTGTTTGGGACACAAGGAATTGAATTTATATATGAGCCATGACTGGGCTATGACCAAAAGATGTTTAGCTGTGATTGTAGTTCCATGTATGAGTATTGCTTGGCCCCTCAACCAATTGGCTTTCATTTGCTGCAGCCGCGAATCCTTTTAGATGTTTGCCTATCACAAATGTGTTGCACTGAGTTGTTCATTTCCATGCATGCGGGCAGGGCATGAGTCATACCGATGGTGCTTGATGTGTGAGATGTGGTGTTTTTTTCTTTCGTTTTTTGTTTAAGGCGGTAACAAGCTCACCTTGTCAAACAAAAGCAGGGGATCCCATTGAAGGGGTATAGTGAAGATGTTGAACTTGGATGATACTGATAGTACCTCAGAACAACCTTATGGAATACTGAAGTGGAAAATTGAGGTTTCATCTCAGTTTTCATCACACAGATAGATTCTACAGGCCTCAGATCCAGGACCTGCACAAACTTTTTTCATGCGGATTCTCCTGTCCTGTGGTCTAGGTCGTGAAGGGCATTCTCCGTCTCAGTCACACTGCCTCTGTAGGCGCTGGCCAACATTGAGGCCGTTCCGGCGGATGGGTCGGCTTTCAATTGTTTTCAAGAATGAGATCCATGTGGGTATACCCGGGTAAGTCTCAAACCAATGGGGGCTGCTGTACACCTGGAGTTCTGTTGTGAGACCTCTGGATATCTTTTCTCTTGATAGATCTTGAGATGTTTTGAGACGTTTTTTGAGGAGAACATTCTGAATCATATGGTACACGGTGCAAGACAACTCAGTTGACAGTAGGATTCGACAAGGCGATTCTTCCTGAGGAGTATGAGCCTGCTGCACAGAAGATCCTGTAGACACGTGCAAGGAGCACAGATGTGTGGTTGCATAGGATATGCTCTATGATGCACCCAGCCACCACAAAATCCGCCGTTTCCGACATCCGGAAAAACACACCATCAACCAACTATGCTTGCAAGACTAGCAGGCACTCTCACCATCTCAGCATGGTCGGTTCCCCAGTGGTCCGCCCGTCCACACCGCCGGTTCCACTCTCTCCACGCCGCGTCCCAGGCCATCGCGCAGGTGGAGGGCGTGGACGCGCTCTTCGTGGGGCCCAGCGATCTCAGTGCCTCGATGGGTCCCTCGTCTTCAGTCCGGCGCGGTGTGGTCGCCCCCTGCAGACGATCCCAGACGTCGACCCGGAAAAGGACCCCGTGTGGTTTTTGGAGCGAACAAACGGTCTTGAGAGTCCATGTTGATCTGCAGGAGCGAAAAAAAAGGTGCAGGGGCATGGCAAGGGTGGGTGGGTGGGTGGGTTGACTGGAGGAACGTATGGTGAAGCGTGAGAAGAGTTGCCTTTTTGTTTGTAGGTAATCATTAGGACCAGATAGGACCTCAGTTCCAGTCTTCTTTCAGATAGGAGTTCAGTAGCCTTGGATGGCCTCCTGTCGGTGCTTGCCACACCACACCCTAGCTCCCTAGCTGAGTGCAAGACGTGCTGAAGAGCTGAAGTTGGGAAAGGTTGCTTGAGTCTCAGTGTGCATCCCTTGCTGCAGGCTTTATTGGACAACCTCAACATCCAGAGGCTGGGTGGAAATCAGAAGTGTCGGTGGAGCCTGCGGAAGGATAACATAGTGGATCCGATGAAGACTCCATCCATCAGCTTCACAGGAAACACCGAAAGCGCCCTACTTCAGTGGATGAGAATGACTTGACCTTCATGTAGATTGGGCATATGTTCCAACTACATCCCTGGCAATTGGCAGATCTCACAGTCCCCCCCCCAAAGGAGGTCAAACCAACAGTTGCCAATGATCATCTATGACTCAAGCCTTTCTGGCCAATAGGATCCAATCCCAGCACCATCACGCCCCACCCGTGCCCGCCGCCCACCCGTGCGCCACCGAGTGTGCTCAGCCCGCGTGAGGTGAAAGCGGCCATTGAGGACGCCTTCCGCCGCATCGTGGCCACCGGGAAGGCGCGAAGGGACGGAGCACGACACGGTCGGGAGCGCCGGGAAGAAGGTGACGGCCACCGCGGGGGCGGAGCCGGGGAACGTGGGGCGAGTGTAGCCAGTAGCTAGTAGCTAGTAGCTCCTGGTAGTAAGGCCACGAGCTACTAGTAGCTTCTTGTTACTACTCGCGATGCACCTTGCTACCAGTAGCCCAACAAGGGTGATGTGGCCGATTTGTGAGACCAGTTCTTCAAGAGCCGGTGAGATGTCAAAAAAATACCTTTTTGGACACGTCAGACCCAGCAAACCTCGAGGCGGCGGGCTTCCTCACCGCCAACAAGGACGATGCCAAGTGGGCTTTGAAGCGCCTCAGTGGACACTGGATCGGCCGATGGGCGCAAGACACCGCGAACGAATCAATGCTGATGACAGGTGACCAGGTGGATCATTGTAGATCTTGGCGGATCCATCTAGATCCCCAGCATTCCTTGTCACATACATTGCATTCACATGTGTGCATACCATAACATCACATAATATCACACCGCATATGAATAGATAGATGTGTAGGCTTATTGCGGAGACCCCCTGGCCCAATTATGGGTAGACGGGTCTATTTCGATCAATCTAGGCATCGAACAAAGGCCACTACACCAAGTGGCCAAGTGGCACCTCGTGGCAGCTCCTTTCGGGTGCTTTTTACTTCCCCCTCAGCGAGTTCACCCCCCCCCCCACAGGAGGATGGCCACGTGCCCAGGTGTGGCTGCTCCTTCGTGGCAGTGGGGAGTGATATGCAGATGCTCACAGCGGCGGCCAAGGCCTGGCGGATCGTGTGGGCCAATGGCTGGGCCGGTGAGACAGATGCAGACGGAAGAGGTTCATCATGGTTCATCAGATCTATGTGTGTCAGTTTGGGGTGTATAGATGTGCGTGTATCTATGCACACCAACGGCTGAAGGGGGAAATCATTGGGGGTGCGTTGCACCTGAAGAAAGAGAGGTTGAAGAGATCTATTTCATACTTGTTCATATTGGTTTAAGGTATGTGCTGCACCGCAAAGCCTTGGATGCAAGATGTCCCGATTCTGTCACTACAGAGGCAGAAAGGCCTAAGAAACCATAGATTGGAATACAGTGGAATGCAATGAAATACGGAATGTTACATGGATATTTTGCTTTTTACTCCTCAGGTACAGGACAGGAGATCGTTGTCAGACCTGCGGTGTTGGCGGAGTTCACATGAACCACCACAGTCCAAAGCGTTTCGAGGGTCGGGGGGATTTTTTCGAGCCAATCGGAAGCCTTCCCTGTTGGAATCCGCACTTTATCAATTTCATAAGCCCACACATGTTGAAGCGTCAACTCATTATGGTCCCTTGGGCTAAGCAAGGTTTCAGCTGCCAACGTCTTCTTGTGCATCCAACACAGAGCTTTGCGTACTGAAGACCTAAAATGGTACTCAGTAGATCTCAGTACCCCAAATTACTAAACCTGCAATACAGTACATCATCTTTCTGACATTTATCCTCATCAAAGTAATTCCTCTTTCGGCACAGACAGCGGCAAACCTCGAGGGTAGGTGATGTCGGCTACTTCAGCGAATCGCAAGACGTCCAAGGCATGTCATGCGAATCCTGCGCCTTCCCAAGCGACCTACCCCACCGACCTACCCAGGAGTGAAACGTGGATAGACTGCCCCACTGCCTAACTTTGGGGAAAAAGGTGAACCGTTCTGTGCCAGGGATTGAGTTTGCTTTTTGGGAGTCAGCTCACATGCAGAACTCGCAGGGTGCGGCTGCAGAGTTCCATGACTTCGCCAAGAGCTTGTAGGTGCCAAGTGCTGGGTCATAGTGACACGGACAGGGTAATGATAGATCCGAAACACCAGAATCAGAGCGAATTATTTATTTGGTTGTTTGTTTGTTGCACCTAAAAGGAATATAATGTAAAGAGCACCTGTCGGAAGGTTCAGGGTCCTGTAGATTCAATAGACGTAGAAAAGCTTTTGCGCTGCCTGCTGCCGATCAGACGGGAAAGGCCGCGGAGAGCATCGTGATATAGTTCACCAAATTACTTTTTGCAGATCACATAAGATGTTCCATGTATACGTGTGTAATACATTGCAACAACAACAACACCAGCAGCAGCAACGACAACAACCACAACCACAACCACAACCACAACGACGACAACGACGACGACAACGACGACGACAACGACGACGACGACAACGGCAACGACGACGACAACGACGACGACAACGACAACGGCAACGACGACGACAACGACGACGACAACGACAATGGCAAGGACAACGACAACGACAACGACAATTCCTGACAGGTCTTAGGCTGGCAGGGGGGTTTGTAGAGTGTATTGCTTAATCCTTCGGGAGTGGAGTTGAGCTGCTGAAAAAGTGCACTTCCAGGGCCTCCCGTTGTGGGGGGGTCTCATTTGGGGGCCAACATCTATAGGCAATATGAGGCTTTGGGTTGATTATGCGTGCTATTACTTCTCCCCATGTAACGCTGGGCGAGGCCAGGGTTTGCTTAGGAATAGCCGCCCGCAACACATTGCATGTTGGTTGTTGATATATTTTGACATTTCCAGTGCATTCTGCATCTACTCTTCTCTGGCTTGCCGGGATTTGCAAGTTGCCTTTTGTGTATCATGCTTTCCAGGCACGACTAAAAGCCACAAAATTGGGAGTTCCATGAACTAATTCTCCATGCCAGTTGGCGGTGTTGATTTAGTCACATCATTACTCCAAAAATATGGCAATCCCGTTCATCACCTTCGTTCATTTGTGAGGTGCGAAACTCTTCCTTGGGTGCTTGCCGGAAGGGAGAGGAAAAGAACCGATGAGCTGATGGGGAATCCCGCTGGAGGAAATTGAGCCGACGTGACATACAGCGACTACTCCCCGGGCAGAAAGTGGGGGTGGTTGGTAGTAAGAACCCGCATGAAAAGCTGTAGACCTTGTCACTTCACTTTGATTGTTTGTTTGCCACACTGAGAGGTGCGGGTGACTGTTTACTCAAGACTCAATACAATCGCATCTTCCAACGCTTTGAGTCGCCATGTCCCCCTCGCTTTGAGGCCCTTTCAACAATCGAAACTGGACGCTGTTAGCGGCTAGAGGATACTGCTGAAGCCATGTCCGAAATCCGACTCAAGTCCTTCTTTGCTTCGTCAAGATGTGAGTCACCGCCGGTCACGGTCGTGAGCTCGATCGCCTCGCCAGCTCGATCGCCGGCTACGGCGCCTTCATGGGGCGCATCGACGTGGATCGGATGGACCTCATCAAGTGACCTTGGCAAAACGGGTCGGATGGGATGGGTCAGGGTGGTATGGACTGACATGGACAATCATGGACACCATGGAAAGATGGAAAGCTCGATTTTTTTTTTGTTGGGTTAAGGGTTACGTGCTGTTCATGCTTTTTGAGTGGTGGTAATTTTGTGTGAATGTTCCCAGATCTTCTGTGGGGTGGTGTTCAGGTCGGTCGGAGTGACGTAAGGAAGGATAGGTTGCTGAACTTGATGCAGATGGGGCAGTTTGCTGCACCTGTTGCAATCTTGGACATTAGGGTGCATGATGGACCTACAGGCCTAGATTTATAACATTTTGGATCATTTTGGTATTTTCACAACACTGCAAACGGTGTGGCAAGAGTGTTGAAAAAGATTCGAGATCCATGTCACCGCCTGTCTACTTCCAGAACGAACTGCCCAAAGCTTTCCAGTGGTTTGTTGGGGACATGCTAGTGAAATCCTTGGAAATCGTCGTGGAAATGGTTTGTTATTTGGGATGGTTGGGCATCCAGCTGGCTGATGTTTCCTTTTTTACGATGTCTTCGCTCCAGGTATCCTGGTTGGCGGGACGTCCAGTGGAGCTATGCCGATTTGAAGCCAGGTGATTGTCCCTTCGGCCGAGAAATTGGCCCTGGAGCCATGTTCCCATGCAAAACATTTATAGGCAACTGACAAAGTCCTACCTGTAACCATGAAATCATTGGAATTCGGGGGACTAAGGCATGACATGGTCGTTTCCCTGTAACACATTGTAAAACAACAGAGAAGGAAAACCAGCTTTTCTCCGCTGGCCGATCGCGTGACGTGATGGAAAACCCCACGACAACAAACCAAGATCTCCGACCAGCGGGTGATGGGTTCAGTCGAACGGATCGATGTGAAGCAACCGGACCAATCGGAACATCGAAGGGTTCACTTGAGGTCGCATCAATCCCCAGTCGATTGAGGTCGCATGATGCGTGCCATTTGGTTCTAGAATGGTCCTAGAATGCGTAGACTCTTCATGAATACGTGAATGGCTCGGAGATCTTGGCAACAACTTGGTCCCATTTTTTTTGCCCCCCTACCAAGGCTTGTATATCCCCTATCAGTGGCCGGGAAGCCAAGCGACCGTCCGGGACGGATTGAAATAGTGGGTGTGGAGATGCCAAGCCACCCCTCGCATAAGGGATACCACAGTTTGCCGGTTTTGATGGAGGTGTGTTGTAAGATCGGAACCCTGTGCAACTTCCTTTGAATTCATATGAATTCACCCCAAGATACCCCAACCCAACCTGGAAAGAAATGCTATAGGGCTTACTAGTAGGCTTCTTCCACCTCTTGGCTTATTCGATCTTTGATGATCTTTGCTTCGTCGCATTTTTCCACATTCGTTCCAGTTGTGCTCTCAGGTATCATCAGGTCACCGCCTTCCCCGGGCGATCCATCAACGTGCACGTCTGGCGCCTCTGGGCACCGGGGCGAACGCACGGGGGTGGACACAGGGCTCTCGGGTGGTTTTGGAAGAGTTGCTTTGATCGTTTATACAGATGTACACATACACCATCTGACACATCCGAATCCATCCACACACACACACACACCTCACATGCAGAAACATCATGAAACATTCATCCTGCAAGATACCATCTAGTCTTGCAAGGAGCATCCAACACTGCCAAATGCTGCGTGATGGCAATTCGTGATCGAACCGGTCGTTTGGGCAGGTACTGGCGACCGGCCCAGTTTGATGCGTCCAGCTGCTCGATGGTGAAGGTGTGGAGAGTGTCGAAGAGAGTGGAAGTCATTGGACCAGAAACAAATTTCCGGCCACAATTTCTCAGTTCATGTAGCCTCTTGATTCATGGTCTTCCCGATCATTTGGATTGAAATACCTCTTCAATCCTCTTCATATGGAGGGTTTTATTCATCAAGAGTCTACGTTAACTGAGAGTTAGATATATAATATATATATATGTTTCCTGACTCTTCATTCTTGCTATAATGCTCCATGATGCTCCATGATGCTCCTCCCCAAAAAGACCGGTGAAACACCTCCCCGCCGGTGACTGCTTTCCCGCTGGCAGGGTCACGGTCAGCCACGGCCGGCAGCGCGTGTGAGCTACGCGGATTGCACCTGGGGATGGGAGCCAAAGAAGGCAGGCTCTGCGCGTGGCGGCTGCTGTTTTCTGGGAGGTGATCGGGAGAGGAACCGGTTGAAATGGGTTGAAGTGGAATATCAAAGGTGACAGGTTGATACAGGTTGTAAATCTGGTTGGAGCTTCTTCTTGAACAGAACAATGGCCTCCTTGGAGGGTTGACTTGAAGCTTTTGGGGAGCTTCCCATGTTGGAAGAAATCTTCTTGAAGTTCATCTTTGATCTTTCGCTCCCATCTCGAGAATCATCGAGATGATCTCAACGATTCAAAGACCCCCCCCCTGGCGACCGTCTTTCGGGCAGATTGAAACACATGGCTCTCCTGCTGATGGTGTTGAGGGACCAGATCCTAGATCCATTTGGAGACATCTTTGTCAAAGGTCAATCAACTCCTTTTCTGGAGCTGGAGTCACTGGAGTCCTTCGGATCTCTTAATATCCCTCATCTACCCCTTCCTCTGCGGGTCATCCGCGCTCACGCGCGGCGCGCGCGCGCGCGAGGGCCACCTGGGGAAAGTGAAGAAAGGCTGGCCCAAGGTGACGAAGTGTCGCCAGGTGCGTCCGGCGTGTCGAGAACGGACCCGGTGAAGTGTCGAGCACGGATGGTGATGAACCTAGAGGTGAATGGATCGAAGCACACGGAGCGAACCGGAGGATGGAGGCCGCTGAAAGGTCACAGCTGGAAGCTCAACAAAATATAGTAATTAGTTAGTTTTTCAATGTGTTATGACACTTGAGACTGTCCCAAGAATGCCATAGATGACTGTCAACGAATCAGTTTCGTCATGTCTTGGCCACCCACTTGGAGTATGGACGACCATTTGAGTCAAGTGGATACAACCAAAACTGTTTAGTAGGAAGGACGCTACTAGGTGGAGGCCATCGCTATTAGGTTGGAGACCATCGCTACTAGGAACACGGATGCTACGAACGTAGCCATTTGAACATGGATTGATTCCTTGGTGACGAGACCAGAAGGCAGACCATGAGCCAAGCATATGTCATCAGCTCGGCTCACGATACTTTCCTTCGACATCTACACCCGGAAGATTATATAACATGGAACCTGAAAATGGACCTAAATGGAAGACTATTTTCCTCTACAACCCACCAGTGGTTTTCAGGTTCCATGTTAATCTTCCAGGGAGTACTTCCTTAACTGTGCTCGTCCACACAAAAGCACAGCTGCTGGTCGCGCTTTTGGTCTCTTGGACCTGGTCGACAAGATCGGTCGTTCATTTGTCAAGACCGATATACGGTCACACCTATATACGTTCACCGTCCCTGCTTTGGAACTGCTGCAGTTCAGAGATCCATGACGGAGCGATCCACAGAGTTCGGTGCAAAGTTGGTACCAAGACAAAGACCGGGACGGGACGTTCCTAGGCAATGTTCAACAAAAATACTGTAGTCGTAAGATACTGTGAGTCTAATATAGTCCACTCAGACTGGAAGACGCTCTCACTTTTTGTCCCTCTTCCACCATCAAGTTAGACTTTACCACACCGGCTGGCTAATTATGTGGTACCAGTACCGACCTTGAGAGAGGATTTCCCGCAAAGTGGCCTTCGCGAATGTGCCAGGCGAAACAACAGGAGCTTTGACTGTGCAAAGATCACAGTCTCGTCTTGTACAAACGCTTTGACAGGCACCGTTTAGTTAGGAGAGCATCATCATATTGATTCGTGAAAAAGGTGACAGTGTTTCACTTGGAGTCCATGTCGCTCAGTTGAGACCAATCAGCTTGACAAGTGAAACATGCTCAGCATCTGGGTGTGGGGAGACCCCTGCTTCAGAACATATCTCTTGATTCGATCATATCTTGTCAATCTTCTTGAATTGGTCGGTGCTGTGTTGTGCATGCTCATTTGCTTTGCTGTCCCTACTACCTTGTTTGGAGCGCACGTCACACTCTGAATTAATGTAGCTGCCTTGCTCCAGCACTGCAAACTGAAGTGTGTTGGCAGCAATGCTCGGTGCCGCTCGCCGCGCTGTGGGGGCTCTGGGCGGGGCAGC